ATGGCAAACATGTTAAGTAGCATAACCAATTTTGCCGTATGGGCGTCATTTTTTATTTGTGCACTAAAAATTTTCCATGATATGTTTACAATTTCCGTGATACAAGTAGTTCTTCTACACATTTTTGCATGACCTACATAACTTTTCTTCCACGACAAAGTTATTGTTCATGGTAGGTTTATATTTTATACCATGGCAATTTTTGTAAATTGGACCATAGCAAACTTATTTTTTTTACCATGTGAGTTATATTTTTCATCTACGGCAAAGTTATTGTTTGGACCATGGCAATTTTGTAAGTTAGACCATGAAAATTTTATTTCCTGCCCATGGAAAATTTAGTTTTTAAACAGTGGCAAAGTTATTTTTTGGCCATGGCAAAGTTATTTCGGGCCACGCATATTTATTATTCGAACCATGGCATATTTGTACTTCATACCATGGTAAATTCACATGTTTTGTACCATCGCTAATTTATTGTTTGCACCATGGTAGATATATTTTACAGCACATGAAAAAATTATTTGTTTGGATCATGGCAATTTTTGTAGTATATACCATGATAAATTTAATTTTTTGGACCATGGCAAATTTATCACTTTAACCATGGCAGACTTATTTTGTTTCTTGACCATGGAAAATTGTTTTGTACACACCAAACCATGGAAAATTTATATTTTGGATCATGGAAACTTTGTTTTTAGTACACACCAAACCATGGCAAATTTATATTTTTTGGACCATGGCAATTTTATTGTCTGCACTATGGCAAAAAAATTGTTTGGACCATGGCTATTTTGTATTTTAGACAATGGCAAAATTACATTTCTTTACATGGAAATTTTATTATTTTAACCATGGAAAACTTTTTTGTTTAGACCATTGCAAATTTATTACTTTAACCATGGAAAACTTACTATTTACACATACATGTTTTCACACCACTATGGAAACTTTTATCGCATACACCATCATAAATTCTTGTTTTCTAATTTTTTTGGAAACATGGCAAAACACTTTTACTAAAACATGGTCAAAAAAATGTATAACATGGAACTAATTTGTTTTCTTTTGCAATGGACGATGGCAAATTGACAATCCCATGTAGGCCATGTTCGGTTAATCCCCTTGCCACAGGGATTGAAGGGGATTGGGGAGGTTTGAGAAGGATTTTGACTTGCAAGGGATTTAATCCCCTCCAATCCCTTTCAAACCTCTTCAAACCCTTCCAAACCGAACAAGGCCGTAGGGTTTTCTCCCAAAAACATTGTCTTTTAGTGTGGGAGAACAAGTTTTGGTAAGTTTGCCATGTTACAATTTTGTATAACTTTTTTTTTGCATTTTTCAATGTTCTAGAGAAAATTTTAGTATTTTTGTTGGTCACATTACAATTTTACAACTTTTTGATCCATGGAACATGGCAATTTTTGAAAATGAATAAGATCTAGGATGGCAATTCTCCGTAACAGATGCTAAGTGCAATAATTTAGGATGTGCTTGAAGATGGGATTCACTTACATATGTACATACGATTAGTGCCCAAGATTTTGAATCCTGGTCTACATGTATAATTATACACCTTTATTTCTAAACAGAGTGGATGTACAATATTGGGTGTATCATGTGTAATTAACAGAGTCGTGCAATGAAGTAACCAAGCGCATAAATAGAAGCAGCCGAGCCCCAGAAATTCTTTGGAAATTGGTGAAGTAATAATGGCTTAAATCAAAAGCTAGGATACTAGTTGGTGACACGCCCCATATATATGCACTCGTCTCCAAGCGTGAAATAGACCAAAGGAGCAAATGAAAGAACAAATTTCTCATTAGCACTATAAAATAAGCGAAGTTGATAAGGGCTAGAATAGACACATTTGGTCACATGAGCCATGTGAAGGTGTGGAATGCTCTAGAAAACTAGAAATGGGAGGCATCGGAAGTTCATATTCCCGTCAGGGAGATACTCATTGTGCTAAGAACATAGAATGGTCGAGCTCTTGTATGGTATTGCAAAATTAGCATGAGTCCTCCATTTCTACCGATCCCTCTTTGACACTTGGGAAAAGGAGTACCAACTCGAAAAATCATGGAATGTCTTGACGAGGGTAGAACAGTAATCGCATCACCTCGTTAGTACTTCCTATGAGGTTATGTTGGTCTTGTTGTTGCTTGTCAATTATTTACATGGAAGCATTTGACACGAAAATATACAGCGACTAACAAGAATCATGGTCCCTCGCGGCTGCCACCACGAACCAGGTTAAGAGAGAAGCCGAGACGAGTCGAGGCCAGCGAGGGTGTGCCCCCGAGGTGGTGAATATCATCGGTGACGGGAATTCAGAGGGCGGGGAACCATGGACACCCCCACCCCCTCCCCCTATACACTAATGTAACATGATTACATTACCGTACTGAGGTATAAAAAGATCATGTTGCGATTAAAAATCATGATTAAAATGATGAAGTGTAATATTTATTGTATTGGGCCGTGCTTGGGCAGGTTCAGCCTGAAGGTGGCATGGCAGCCACGGTTTGCCGTGGCCCAACAAGCACGATGGGTGTGGATCTGGCACGGCCCAGCCCGAGTCTCAGGTTTAGCTGGCGGCCTATTGCATGGTCGATATAACTGGCTGATAGCTCTAATACCCCTAAAAACAAAAGGAGTCAATTACACCACGGGTGCCACAACTTGACGCCAAAAGCCATTTTAGTGCCAAAACTTGTGGCATATATTGAATTGGTGCCATAACTTGGTTTTGACGCAAATCACGTTTCTATACAAACACGGTGCTGATTAGGCACGCCGATGTGCGCGACTCGACGACGTGTGTGCGCTATTTGAGCAAGAAAAGCCATCGGTATATTTTTTTCTCATGGAAAAGCACCTGGTAGAGACCCATATTTTTTCTCGCAGATGGGGGCTATTGTGCAAAAATTATCATCCAGGTATTCGATCACGTGACCTGACATATGCAGTAGCGCCGGCCAAACAAATACACCCAACATTATTACTTGTGATTAACTGATACAAAAAGCATACAACCGTTCTGACTTCAGTGGGCTGGAGTCCCAGCGACCCAGTTTACACCGTTATTTTTGTTAAAAAAATAAAATACATGTAAATTGTAACCACACGTTAAAGTAAAATAAATTTAAAAATAACAATGAAAACTTTCATATACTAATATTTTTTAAGTCATGAACATTCTAAACTTTTATTAGCATTTGTTGAAATAAAATATATATTTTATAAATTCCTAAAAAAAGTAACGCTGTTGGGTGGTGTAGTCACATGGTGGCACGTGCTACATATCGCTGCTTCTAATCCCAGCCAACTATTTTTACATTATATGAATATATGTTTTTAAAGCGTGACAGTTTTATATACTACGTGAATATTTTGTTAAAACTTTGAATATTTTAAAACTTATTTAAGAATTTATGAAAATATATAGTAAAATAAAAAACTTTCTTAAAGCATGAACACTTTTATACAGACAATGATTTCTTTTAATAGTGAACATTTTTAAACTCTTATAAACACTTACTTTAAGCATGAAATTTTTGTAGTATATTACATAAATATTTGGATGAAACTGTGAACAATTTTAAACTTATATAAGAACAATTATGTACATCATAATTTGATATATGGATAAATGCTAAATCCATACACGTTTGTTTTATACATATATATTATTTACAACACACTATTATATTTTACATATATTCTATAAATTTCTGAAAAGAGAAGTGCAAAATGAGATGTAGGGACTGCAACCTAGTTAGTAGTCAAAAAATATACAGCAGCAGCATCCAGTTATTAATAAATTTGGCTGATTGTCAGGTGGTTATACTTGCGCTGCTGCTAGCTACAGGTCAGCTGTTTGAGTCTCTCACGTACCAATTTTTCATTTATTTGTGGGAGGCTGACAAGTGGACCCTTGCAGCCATGGTATAGTATTTTTCGTGAGAACAATATTTTGAGGTTTATTTTTTGCAAAAAAGCAGGCCACACGTCCACTTTGCCGCTAGTCGCTGACAGCAGGCTCCGTGCCACGTTGGCGTACCTAATCAGCATCCTGTTCGTATAGAAATGTGATTTGCACCATATATGTACGTCAAAGCCAAGTTATGGCATCAGTTTAATGTATACCGCAAGTTTTAGCACTAAACTGATTTTTCATGCCAAGTTGTGGCACCAGTGGTGTAATTGACTCAAAAAAGGCTAATAGTTCTAAAAAGAAATAACTGGCTGATGCAGCATCATGATATTTTCTCCGTCTAGATGTGTAAGTCATCTTTTTTTATTAATTTTAAGACAAATATTTCCGGACGAAGAAAGTACCTTACATTTTAGATCAATATAAAGTGACCATGATTCCCTAAAAAGAAACTGGCGGCCTATTGCATTCCTTTGTGTCGAGGACCGTCTTGCTCGCGGTGAAAACCGAGCGTCACGAATCTAGTTACCGCTCGATTAATTAAAAATTCCTGGGTATTTTGGGTGAGAGCGATACATGAATGTCGGTCCTCCCCCCGGTCGGCATTGTTTTGTTCCTCGCGTGCAGCATGCACGTGTCCTTCCTCGGTTAGAATAATCTAAAGCCGGATAAACTTGCCCTTCGCAATGGTCCAGATCCACAGGGTGCCCATGTCCAAGCCCACTTTGGCCGCCTTCTTCTTGTAGTTCTGTGCCTCCTCATCCCCGCACACAGTACACATGAGGAAACAAACACATCTATCATGTCCGGATTATTAGGGCTAAAAGGAACTGGCTAATTATAGAACTTGCATAAGTACATGGATCGACCCCGTGTGACAACGAAACAAATGAAAGAATGCGATATGCATACTACGGTACTACATTTACACCATCCGACAGAGCTCTGATGCGCGCACTTCCTTCCTTCGTTCGTTCCCAGGGATCGAAAGCCGAAACCAAACACATCTCAGACGACGGGTTCATGCGTGGTTCTTGTAAGCTGCAGCAGGATCTCATCAGCGGAGCTTGCACTCGGCGGGCAGGCCCTGCGCCACCCGCTTGGGGTCGGTGCAGTAGTTGTAGATCATGAACTTCCTCTGCACCCACCGCATGCGGCGGTACCCCATGCCGCTGAGCTCCTGGTTCCACCAGCTGCCGCTGCCGCCGTTTGCGCCGGCCGCGGAGGCCTCCATGGTGCCCGCGGGGCAGCGCTGCGCGCCGCCCGACATGACGCACGCGTCGGCGTTGAAGTTGCGGAAGGAGGCGACGAACGGCGCCTTGCTCCAGTCGGTCTTGACCCGGCCGCCCTGCGTGGCCCAGTCGTCGGCGTTCCAGAGGCTCGCGTACAGCCGCATCGGCTGGCTCTTGGGGAACGACACGCCGCGCGCCTCGTGGTTCTTGAAGTCCCTGATCGCCGTGCCGTCCACCGCGAATCTGCACACCCGTGACCGAAAGGCCTTCACGTCAGCGACAAGCTCGAGCAACATGCGCAAGGAGCGGCTCTGTCTCCAGAGCGGAAGGAAAGAATCCATGAAGGAAGGAGGCTCACATGACGTGCTGCGGGTTCCAGATGATGGAGTAGGTGTGGAAGGCCTTGGTTGGGTCGAACCAGAGGCGGAACTGCTGCTCCCGCTGCCCCTGCCCCTTGGCGAACACGTTGGTGTGCAGCGTGTAGGGCTCGCCGGTCACGTTGCCCAGGAACTCGAAGTCGATCTCGTCGTGGGCCGCCCCCTGCGACGACAGCTGAAACACACCCGCGCACACGAACAGACCATCAGCTTCCATCACATAAGGAAACGGCAACGGCCGATGAACTGCGACTGTCTGAGAATGCACTACTGAAGATGCTTACGTAGAAGGTGGTGACGGTGCCGGCGGAGTTGCCGGGGACGAGCTTGATCTGCATGTCGATCTTGCCGAAGAGGTACTCGGTCTTGGACTGGAAGCCGGAGCCGGAGGTCTTGTCGAGCGTGAGGTCGAGCCCGCGGCCGCCGTCGACGACCTTGCCGCGGCCGTCCCCCCAGGTCATCTCGGAGTCCTGGAAGAAGTTGCCGCCCCGCGCCACCGCCACGAGGCAGGCCATGGCCACAATGCCGAGCGCCACCGTCCTCATCGCGCACGTCGCTCTACCGATCTTTCTTTCTCACTACTGGGCTGCTGCTACTGAGTGAAGTGTGGGTAGCTGAGCTGAGCTTGGGGGAGCTGGATGGATTGGTTGGTTGGTTGATGGATTGATCGGGCAGTAGGGTGGTGGTATTTATACGGCCGGGGGAGGGAGGCCGGTTTGGATTTGGACAGGCTGTGGCGAGGGCAGTGAGTGGCATCCAACGGGCAAGTGCGATGCCGGCTGGCGCGTCTGCGGTTTACGGAGGGAGTAAATGCCGTGGTGCCGTGGAGCGGGTGGATTCGGTTTCGGGCTCGGCGCGCGGCAGCTGGAGGCACCCTGGATCCAGCCCCTCCACCGGGGCGTACGTGCGTGGGGCCGCGCGGGCGACTTTACTTGACCGCGTCCATCCCAATATCCCATCCGCGCCGCGGCGTCCGCGAAAGGGGGCGAGCGACGTGACGTCGTGCCGGGGTAGATGGGCGAGCGGCCACCCGGGTAGATGGGCGTGGGGGAGCGCGCAGCTTTTGCGAGGGAGGCGCTTTTGCCCGCCACTCTTCCGGCACGGGCCGTGTGGGCAGTGGTATTCGCTCAGCTTTACAGTTCATCATCGCCTTCTAGATCGGCACCCCGCCTGCGGCCTGCTGGGTGCGTGATCTGATCCGGCCGTGGCATGTGCGGGCAGGTCTGGGATGCGGGGAAGGTTCGCCCGGGTTCCCCCTTGCCGAAGGAACGGACGCCGGCCGGGGCTGGCTGGCCCGGCCCTTCTGGCCGACCTCCCATCGAGGGCAAGGTTTCCGGTGCTTGGCGTGTACTGTAGTGTGGTGTACGTGCAGCTGCGGTTGGCCGATGCAGCTGGTGAGGTCTCATCTAATTGGGCTGAATTTTTACCTGTGGTTGAGTGGTGAGTGGGTTTCTTACGGTCATACGACTCATACATACGGTGCATTGTGTTCTGTTTTTGAATTTGAAATGGCTGGAGGCGGCCCCGTAGCATTTTTGGCTGGGCCGACCCGTCCGTCAAGGCTGATGACGAGTAAGTACAGTATGATCCGCCAGTGCTCCGATGGACACGCTGTCGTTAGGTACGGGTGCCCTGATTTGGACGCCTCTGCACGACGAGCGGACAGGCTCGCATTTGGACTTGTCTAGGCGGGGGACACGGATTTCAGGTCCTTTAATCCTTTCCTTGCCCTACCCCGATGCATGTCTGTCGTATAGCACCTTGTAATATTATCCTCCAAAGAAATTCCACTCGACCCTAATGAAGTCGGCACATCATGAAACATCACAGTAGCTAAACAGGCGCATGGATGGCCCCGGTTAGCACAGTCCATCACATTTCAAGCGGTAGGACGGATGCATGCATGCACGTCTCGCCAGTGAGGCTGAAGCAGTATACGGAACGTGATAAACAAATGCTACTGCTACGTGGCCTGGTGGTCATTGCCGAGCAGGCGGGCATGGCGTGCGTGCAATGCATTTGCGCGGTGTACTGCGAAACCGGGACAGCGGCCAATGAATCCGAGTAAATTGTCCACAGTGGCAGCAGGCTGGAGGGGAGGACACATCGGCATCAATGGCGGGTGGCAGGTGGAGCAGCGGGAGCCAGCTGGGCTCCTCATCGCTGCTCCAGTCATCAAGTGCGTGCATGCACTGCTGGCGCCGCTAGCACCTGCCCTCCAATCCGATTCGATCCAATCCTGCCGCTGCTGCAGCAGTAGTACAACAATGAGGCCCGCCCATGCCTACGGCGATCATCACAACCTTCCCAAAAACAGGCTGTCCCTTCGTCCAGGAGCACTGGTGCCAGCCAGACCGACCGACACGAGCCCCCGCCACGGAGTCGCGAACGGTGAGGACTCGAGAGGATGGATGGATGGATCATGGATGGATGGATGAGGAGGAAACATGACCGGATGGGCCGTGCGTGATGGTGGTGATGGGTAGCACTGAGGTCTGACTAGTCAGTGGTGGTGTTCTTCAGCGCCGAGTGCCCAGTCCCGTCCATGGCGGGCACGTACGTACCTCCGTTTTCATCGCCATGTTACGTTGTTGTCTCGTGGTACCGCCTACGAGCCCATGCGTGCGTGCATGCGCGAGGTCGACCCAATCGCTGCACTTTCAAAGCTCAAACTTGCCTCGGCGTACGCGTCGACGCCCAGCGTCTTTCATCAGACACGAAAGGGAAATCACAGCTTTTTCTTGCATGTACTGGTGTATCCGTTGGAGTACCGCGGTGCATTCTGACCACGTCAGTACGTAGACGTTGCGCCCGGTCCTACTGGTACGTTCTAGTTGATCAATACGATTCAATGCGTACATCGTTCGTGGACGCTGCCGAGCACGGGAATTTGGTGAGTATTTAAGGTCGTGTATTAATATAGTGCCGAATTCAGTGCTGCGTACGTATGCTACGGCTTCGTTGCTTCGTCGTTGCCGCGCCAACGATCACCACCGGCTAGTTGCTCGTCTATGCCACCTCCAACGCTACCCCAAATCAACCGCCTCACCTAAACTTCCTCCTAGGTTAGACCAATTTCAAATTCAAATGCATAGAGCGCCCAATCATAACCAAAAAGAAGCAAGTATGCATGAATTTTACATGTCTGATCATAAAAGAATCTTAGTTCGACAATCCATGCAAAGGAAAAGAAACTAGATTTTTTTGTCCTACCGTTCCACTATCCAAGCCTACACGCTCACTCCGCCACCGGCTCCTCATCATCATCCTCCTCCGGCTCGGCCGCCATGTGCTTCAACATCTTATCAAGGACACTTTGCACAATTAACCATGCATCGTCATCCAAATCCTCCATCCCCAAGCTCAACATCTCAGTGTCCTATGAGTCTTCCATGTGCCCGTCCTCGTAGCAGCTTCAACCTCCGTCGTGGATCATCTCAAACATCTGCCTATTCGCGTCGTCATATGACGGCTCGCCTGGTTGAGAAATGCCGGCGAACAGCGTGCAGGCACCAAGCTGCTCCACACCATGTGTCCGCGTCCGGATAAGCTGTGGCGATGCAGACTCCGAGAAAAGCAGCGGCACCGCGTTGACGTCGACGAAATAAGGCACATGTGTTGGAAATATGCACTAGAGGCAATAATATTTGTATTATTATATTTTCATATTCATTATTAAGTTTATATCTCTGTGCTACAATCTTATTGATTTTGAATATGAGATTTAGAGTAAAACTCAAATACATGTTTGGAAATGTAAACACCAATTGATCCCCAATCATTCCTCTAAGACTAGCTCATGTATTGATGATGATTTTGTTTTCTTGATCATGAGCATTACTAGTATGCTATCAATAAATGAGAACACGGTTATCATTGTGACAACGGAGTTGGATAAACCCAACTTATGAATTAATCAGAGATGTCCTCGTTGTTATGTTATCGACATTTTCATATATCTTGTTCACATTCGCGTAGTTCCTTAAATCATGAAAATATTGTATGCCAACGTACCGGATGGTTACTTTGGAGTTGTTGAACGTCGTTTCATAACTGGATGTGAATAAAGGCGACTTACGAGTATACCAAAAGCGTATGTCTCGGTATCAATAGTTCAACTTGCAAATATTCTTTGACTCCTCTTTTGTTGAATCAATAAATTTAGGTTAAATTCTCTACCCTTGAAAATTGTTGTGATCCCCTATCCTTGTGGGTTATCAGTGCTGCACGCTTGCAACCAAGTAGAGAGGCCGTGCTGTTGGTCTTCGGTTCGAGGGGCCGTTCGTGGACGGTGTACGGGGGGTCGTTCATCGATGGTTCGAGGGACTCCAAGTATGATCTACACCGACACGCTTAGACAGATTACGGCAACGTTCAGTGGATCGGGGGCCTTCAGATGAAGAGAAGAGCATCATGAAAAAACTGAGAGAAGCTCTCCGCTTGGAGGAAATATGGCTCCGGCAACGTTCTCGTGTGCCGTGGCTGCGGGCTGGAGACCGCAACACGGCTTATTTCCAAGCACAGGCCAGGCAACGGAAACGAACGAATAAAATCGCTAGTCTCACTAGGCCTGACGGCTCGGTCTGTGCAAACGAAGAGGCAGACAAAGCTGAAATCAATGCTTTTTATCAGGCTCTGTACATGACACAGGGAGTCAATAACATGGACGTGCTCTTATCGCATGTGCCACTTCGGGTCACACCGGAGATGAACACAGCCCTATGTAAACCATATGAACCCTCCGAGGTACGCCAAGCTCTATTTCAAATGGCTCCGTCGAAGGCGCCGGGAGTGGATGGTTTTATGGCGGGCTTCTTCCAACGCCACTGGAAGCTACTTCATCATGAAGTAACGGAGGCGGTGCTGGATTTCCTCAATGGAGGTGAACTACCATTGGGCTTCAATGACACGTCCATCATGCTAATTCCCATGGTACGTCACCCCCAGAGCATCTCACAATATCGTCCAATTGCACTCTGTCCTGTGCTTTACAAAGTGGCAGCAAAAGTGATAGCCAACAGACTGAGAAGATGCATGGATGACATAGTAAGTGAGGAGCAGAGTGCTTTCGTCCCCGGACGTTTAATCACCGACAATGTACTGGTTGCATTTGAAAGTGTTCATACCATGAGGAGGCGGAAGAAAGGCAAAAACTACACTTGTGCGATTAAGCTGGATATGATGAAGGCATACGACAGGGTAGAGTGGCATTTTTTGGAGGCTATGCTTTTGAAGTTAGGCTTCCAAGCGAGTCTGGTGAGGCTGATCATGAAGTGTGTTTCTTCAGTTCGCTTCTCAGTGCGCGTAAATGGGGAGCTGCAACCATACTTTAACCCATCGAGAGGGCTGCGACAAGGCTGCCCAGCTTCGCCATACCTATTTCTCCTATGTGCCGAAGGATTCTCATCCCTTCTGAAATATTACGGATAGTTCATCGACCGTGGCATAAGAGTGAATTTCAGAGCACCATGGGTGAGGCACCTCCTTTTTGCTGATGATAGTCTCATCTTCATCAAGGCAAATGCCGATAGTGCGGCAAGGCTTA